CAAAGAGCAATCACATCGCAGAAATCACCAAAAGAACCCATTCTGGGAAGTAGAGGAAAATATGTTTTGCTTCAAATAAAAGCCATGCTTGAAAAACAGCTTGACCAGCTTTTGCGAGGACACAGTAGGCAGGGAGATATTGGTTTATAAAATTTTAAATTTGTATTCTGTCATATCTAATCACTTTCAGTTTTCTCCTTTTCAAAGGTTACTTGTTTCAGTATATACTCTAATAAAAACAATCCTTTGGCCTTCTTAAATAAGTTTGGTTTCAAGATGAAAGTTTAGTCAAGCTTGAGCTTAAAACTGCAGCAAAAGAACTTCTCAAGTTTATAAAAGCATACTTTAACGCTATTGTAGGTAAGAGTTTCCAAACCACTCAAGTGAGTTAAATGTTCAAGCTCCTCTAAGCTGTAATTCTGGCCAATTTTAGAGTAGTACATTTGTTTTACAACATCTATTACGGCTCTGGACAATCTCTTGGGCACAAGTCCAGTCAGCGCAGCACATCAAACCTTTAAACTCATGTTTGTGAACAAAATCCGATACTTGTAATTAAATAATCCTGGCCTCTGATCTCAAAATCAGATGACTTAAGGCAAAACCCTGCAAATAGGTGTGGTTCCACTGACTTCAAAGGGCACTGAAATTTTACTTGTGTGCAAGTGTAGATGATTAGACTTTCAGGGTTATATAAGAAAATAGTAAGCTACTTTATTGCCAAGGATTCCAATTTTAGAAGTTCTTTTGCTTGCTTGTTTCATAAGTGGAAGAGAATTACAAGGTGTCATGAACCCAAACCCAGCTTCCGCCAAAACTGAATTGTTGTTGGTCTGAAGCCATTCACTGGTTTGAGGTTTTTTTATCTATACCTGAGTAGGTTTTCCGAACTCCCTGCAGTCTGTAAATCCCCTGTGATGCAATCCCTCTAAAGATAAGTGATAGACATATATTGCTGACATTTTTCTTCAAAATAACGAATTTTCTTCAAAGTAATGACTAATGAGACCGGTATGAAACTGGTAGAAACTATATTTTCTGTAATTCTTCACATTTCTCTCTTCATCTCGCCACTGCACTTTACATCTCTATCAATACCTACAGCTTCAGTTTGCCTCCATATGTTTTCCACCACACTGGATGAACTGTGTCTTTGTATTTTAAGAGACCTATTGGAAATACGCTACTGATCTTAAACATATTGCTTAGATTAAATTCCCTCTGAGAATTTTAACTAAAATATTTTCAGAAATTAGGCTGACTGGTGAGCTGTATATACCAGGGCAAGAGCAGATGCTGAACTTTGTGAAGCTTGGGAACCACAGTGAGCTTTGGAATTTGATTTTAAGATGAACTCTTGTCTTATTGTGAATTGACGTGTCCATAAGTTTTGTTATTCAATAAGAAAAATTTTTCTCAAAAGGAGAAGGGTGTTAAAGTGTGCAAGGGCATTAATGATTCCTGTAAATAAACAGCAGTTACAGGTTTGGTTTATAATCCTGAAAGAGACAATCAGATAGGAGATAAGAAAGGAAAACACAAAACAAATGGAAGAGAAAGGTTATCCTGAGGTATCTACTTATGTCACAACACAAAGTCCTGGTGACATTCAGTGTAATAAGAAATGACAAAAGGAAATGCTTTTTAAAAATAGCATATGCCTAAGTGATAGAATTTGTGTCCTTAGAAGATATTTCAGATAGAGACTAGCAAGACAGAGACTGCAGCAAACTCTTAAGGAGTTGGAAAATTGTCAGTATGACTTAAAATCTCAGAAATATAGAAGGATAATGTGCATTTTTTAGAGTGATATTAAACCATCTAGTTCAGTGCTTAATTCAAATTTCAGTTATTAGCCAGCTGAAAGGAGCTTACACCTGCCTTGTCACTAATACACACTAACGCCTCAGCTATCATGTCAATTCTTAAGCAAGGATAGAAGTTTTAGAGCATGAGTGCCATGCTGACCAGAGCAGATGATACACTTGAAATTGAGAGACACATTAGAGCTTCAATTTACAACCCTTCAAGTAAGATTTTTACCATAACACAAAAACTAAGAAAAAAATAGATAGCAAATGCCTATCCAAGCCCTTTCTACAAGTCAGCTGCACACAGAGAATGTCCTCACTTTCAAGTTTCCTGACACAGTCAAGCCAATGGTTATTATACACAGAAATTAATCAGAGATGCAGTTATAGACTGCATGTGAATTAACTTTTTATTCTTTCTTAAAAGAAGACGTAAGAATTAACGCATATTTTTAAGAGGGGGTGAAATCTTACTACTTTCCCAGGGGAAGGTATTGTAGCAGATATTCATAGAACCTCCACATTTTTCTTTACAGTTATCCACACATACCTCTCTTCCTCCATTCAGACCCACCCTATGCAAATGACCTTATCATTACTTCTTTCATCAAAGTTATGCTTTCATCAGCAACTTTTCTGGTCCTATTCAAACAGCTTTTCACCTCCTGAGATGAGCAATGGGGGAATTAGGAAAGAGAGGAGTATGACTGAAAAAAAAAAAAAAAGCTATTTGATGGCATTGATATGGACAAATTTACCAGTATCATAAAAAAAATCACATAATGCCAAGCAGCGAGCTGTTCATGCCATACATAAACTCCACTATTTATGAAAATAATTACTGTGACATGTTATAAGAGTTATTGTACAAAATCTATGCATTTGTGTGTAGCACTTTTTATATCTGAGCAAAGGCCCAGTCATAATACTTATTTTGAAGCACGAAATCCAACACAGCTCAAATAAATTTTTTTGTTTATTACAAGCATAAAATGAAGTTCTTTTGGCACAGATATCCTGTTGGCCATTAATCGTGCCCATGACAACCTGGATAGGAACAAAACAGTTAGTCAGGCAGCACAATAATGCAAAAATAAGTTGCCTGAAGGAGTGATAGAAGAGAACTAAGATAACAGACCTCACTGCTTTTATTACTCTAACCAATGTCCCAGCTCTCACATGAAATGAGCTCCTTAGCAGCACACTGTTGTTCTCATACTATTTCAGAGGCTCATTCTGAAGTTAGTATGTAATGACATTCACTCTGGAAATCTCTGTGTTACTTTTTCCACTACTACATCCTCTTTTGGAGAAAACAAACCAAGAGATGCAGCTTGATCCATCCTCTTCCCTGGCTTTGAAAGCCCCCTTTGTATAATAAAGAGCAACTTTTAAAATGCTCTTCACATTAGGAATTAGCATCGATGCTATTTATGAAAATCCTTGCAATATCTCCTTACAGTGCTCACACTGACTGAGTTGGAATAAGCTTCACACTCACTGAGCTTTGGGCAATTTCTGGCACTTTCCCACTTTAATAACATGGAGAGAAAGTTTTATATTTAATTTGGGCAGACGAGTTGGACTGAATAATTTTCCTCAACTTAATAATTTTATCTGAACTTGGGGACTTCTCCTTCTTTTTAGAAGAATGAGATATGGACATCAAAAGAAAACAGTTGTGAAACCGTGGTTCACTGCGTAACGATACAATCAGCACACTGTCTGATTGCAATCAGAAGACTTGATTATGCTACACACATTTATTGTGTTCATTACGCATAGAGAAGCATTTTACCATGAAGTAAAATACAGTACTCTTGTTCACCATGTTCTGTGAATAAATATCTGTGTGTATAGGATAGCACAGAGCTATGTAGCACTCTCTGGTGGAGGGTGAGTAGCAGAAATCATCTGCTGCTGTGGACCTCAGATGTCCTTCTGAGTTGAGAGCTAATGTCTATTAATGTGGGGCTAAACATTGGGTAAACATGGATAGACAGCTTGTAGTACCCAACGTAGCTCATTTAGATCTAAATCATGTATCTCTGCTTATCATATATATATATATATATATATGTATATGTATATGAACAGGTAATACTTATAAATGCACATATATATATGTAAACACATATACCAAACACAGTTATTGAATTCCAGTATCTGCTTCTCTCAGTAATTCCCTTTGTATGACAAAAAACCCACTGTACTGAACTTTGTTCAGTTATAATGGAATTTTGCACCCCATATCTTCCTCTTTCATTAAAGCCAGAATGATTTGGATCGATTCTGCAAGCACCTAACTAAGAAGTTTTCATAAAAAGAATTTGTACATTCTTCTATTGCTTTAAAAAGTTGTGTGTTTACTTTTTTTCCTGCACATGAAGCATGTAATTATAACACAAAGTGAATAAGCATAACAGCCCTGTATCCTAGAAAGCCTTGCCAGAAAAGGGGCCAGAGTAAAATAGGTAGGGAAGGAGAGCAAAAATACTTATCTGTAGATTTTTCCACTGAAACGTCTCAAGTTCTGTGAAGATGTATTGTTTTAATTAGGACAGTTTTCTAACATTATATATATAGCTTTAAGAGGGCTGTGTTTATTATTGGCATTATAGCAATGCTCAAATCTGGAACAGTTTTGAATATAATGTATTCCATAATCCAAGAGCAATTCTTCAGGAAATCTATATGGCATGATAAAGTAGTAATATTGTTTAGCAGAGAATATATCCAATAATCTAAGAGATGAGGGTTTAAGGCTTGTTTTGTTGGTGTGGTTTTTTTAAACACAGAAATGAAATGGAAGAAAAACATGGTCTTCTGCTCACCTCTGCAGCAGCAGCTGTTGCTGTGCTTTACCCTGGAATTGCACAGCCTCAGAAAAGAATAAATAATTTACGCGCAAAACGGACATGCTCACGCTGGCTCTGCCAGTGCTCAGCCCGGGATGGAACTGTGGAGAAACTGGAGGAAAGGCCAATTGCACGGAAAGTGCTGCATTGCACGTGTGTGACGGAGTGGCTTCATCTCCACCAAACAAGGAAATTCCTTGCCCCTTTCTGCATTTGGCAGTATTTACATGTCACCTACTCCCCACCCACCCCACCATGAGCAAGAAAACTAAACACAAAACAATATAAAGGATGCAATAGTTAGCTCATGTTTTTTTAAAGGAAAACTTACAGATCACTGTAGACAAGACCATAAATCTGCGCTGTGCTGTGATGATAGATTCCTCTCAGGATAATTAAAAGCAGGATCACAACAAAAGCTGGAAGACCCCAACTCAAAAGGAAGTAAAGCAGATAGCGCCGCTCTGTGTGTTCGTCATTCATCACCAGGACGTACCAGAAATTAACAGCCTGAAGAATAAAGCAGAGTATTAATCAGTAGACTTATTGGATGATTAGCTATCTTCAAAAAAACAAATAACTCTGAAAGTTATAATACAGAGCATTTCTGTCCCAGCATATGTGTATATATAAACATTTTTCAACATAAATATTTTGTTCTCATTTTCTTCTCTTAAGTAATCAAAAGAGACTGATTATGAAAGAAGTATGACTATTTATATAACTGCTAGATTTGGGATTAGACTATCAGAGAGGAAGGGACACACTGTTTAGCAGAAAACACTTCTTTTGCTGTGCAAAAATATCTCTGTGGTGCAAAAGTAGCTTTCTTCTGGAATTCCCGTGCCTTCACAGAAAAGACTGACATATAATATTGCTAAATCACACCAGTATTTTCATCTTTTTCTGTCTGGAGGGTATCTAATTCAAGCTTGTGCCTCTATCCAGTCTTGACAGTCACTGGAGAGAGGACAGATATCTTCAGGCACTTATTGATCCATACCCAACCACATTCATCTCTCTTCATTGTTTACATAGGAATTTAGCATATAAATCAACATAAATGTTGATATATATGCTAAATTTGCAGCTGTCTATTGTTAGGATAGGTAAAACCCATATACGGCAACAACAGCAAAGCTATTATATGCATTTGTGAAATGTGGCAGCTTCCCCTTAGCCAAGAATTTGTCTAGCAGTTTCACAATCAAGTACTTAATTAATGGTTTGTGGATTCCTTATGTAAGTAAGTCTCATCAGTTAATCATCATTACAGGGGTTTTTTTCTGTGATTTATATAGCAGGAATACACAATACTTTCTATCATGAATCATAAAGCACATTGCGTATGCCAACAATTTCGTTTTTTAAAAAAATATAAGTTCAGTAACCATTTTAAATTCTTACTTAGAGAATGACATTTTTAAATATATCTTGTGTATATAATTATATTAATTATGTATGGCCTTTTCTATTTTCATTTGGTGATTGTGAACAAAGGCAAAGTTTGCTTTCCTTAAAAGAACACCAAAAAAATCCTACCATATAAGTGTCCTGTGTAGGTTGAAAGAACACAGAAAAACTATTAATTATATTGCTGGATATTCGCAGGAAGAAAACATGAAGCAGATGAAAACAGTGTTTAGAAAACAAATCCAAAGTTTGTGGAAAGATTTGATTGCTCTCCTACAATGCCCCTTCCTCTCATAACTTCAACAAGGGATTGAAAACCCATTCAAGAATCAGTTTGTCACCCTATGCCAATAAATCTTCTTCAAATTACACGCCCTTGTAAGTGCTGACTAGGCTGTGCTTCACTGTGAGCATTTCCAGACAGCAAAACCCTTGAACTGATTTATGCCATTATGCTCAGGGGTTGTTGGTTCTACTAATTCTTACAATCTGGTGGACATTGTTCTCAGTCATCCAAGAAATTGTACCTCATGTCCTCGCTCTGTGTTTGTTTAGCCATATTTACCTATCTCACCTCACTTATCACAGAAGAATACTTTAATGCCCGCACTGCTGCAGAGATGTGAGCAAGTTTGGATATTTCACCATTTCCTGTGCACTAATGTTACTATCTTGATAATTATAATTTCTTGTCTTCAACTCCTTTTTGATGTTCCAAAATTTAATCAATGAAATACAAATAGTGGAGCTAATTTTAGCAAATTCTTTCCTGTTGCCATGCCGCAACAATAAACAGTTCTGAAGAAGAATAAAACATTTCCCAGCTGCTCAGGTGGAAGAACAAATGTACGATTTGTGATTGTTCTGATACAGAATGCAAAACAATTATGGATCCAAATAACACTCTAATGAGACAATGCAAACTTCAGTAAGGCTTTTTGCTTTCAGAGTGAGGCAATTAATTCAAATTACAGTCCCAAATCTGGTGTGCTTTTGTTTCTTTCTTTCTTTATTAATTCATTTATCTGTGCTGATAATCTGTGGATATCTGGTAAATACTAGCTGCAAAATATTTTAAATACAGTTTTTCCCAATTCAGTGGGAAAACTTCTATTCTTCTTCCTTCTTTTTAGGAATGGCCACAGCTTTTATTTTCAGAATTGTTGCTCACTTTTATAGTATTCCTTTTTCGAAGCTGCTAAGCAGGCCATAAATAATTCTTAAAAAATACGCATTAAATTTATTGTAAGATAAGAACTTGTCTTATAAGTCTACTATAGATTTATAGAAAATTTAAGGTGCCATTAAATCCACAAAGGAGGAAGATTCAGGTATGGGTGACAGCAGGCTCATGACATTCAAACTGGTTTGCTTATTGAACTGCCACTTTTGTTGTTGATTTACTCCATTGTAACAATGGCTCAAAAAAGTACAAATAGTCACATTTTCCCATAATTTTACTCTATGTCAGAACTGGCTATTGAGAACTACTCAATTTTAAATTTTTCCTCATAAGATAGATTTAAACTTTTTTTTTTTTGGTAATATTTTTATTGGTATCAAGTGAGAAAATGCTAAAAGAAGCAAATTATTTTTCCTGATAAATGATTGTCATACTACAGTTTTGTCGTGGGCAGAAAAACAGAATACAGATAGGTATCCTTAGTGCGTGCTCCTAAGATAAAAGCACAGGCTGCAATTTCAAAATGCAGGCTTATGCTGTAGCAACGTACATTTCTAGGAAGGAACATTTGTCAGGATGAAGAATTCTCAATTTCAGACATTAGTATAAGGCAAATATTTCAGGCTAAGCTACCCTGTGGGCACAGAGTCTTGGATACTGTTCACTCCTTTCCTTCTGCAGTCAAGAAAGCCTCATCCTAAAACAGATGGGTAATGTTATTAACATTCTGCAACTTACAAAAATCTCAAGAAAAAAAAGACAGTGTAATAAAAAGAGACAGGAGCAATCAGACAAGCAAGGATGATTTGATGTGGCTTTGTTCTGGCTCTGAAAATGGACCAGGTGATCTCTGAGGTCCTTTTCATTCCTGCATTTCAGTCAATATGTTGTACAGGTACTGACATTGAATGTAAGCCTACAGATATGAGAAGCTAAAAAAGGGAAAAGAATTAGAAGAAAAAGCTATAGATTTTAATGTTGCAAGCACTATTAAAATATGAAAAAATGCTAAAGATGGTTAGTGTACCTAGCAATACAGAGAAGATGAAAAGATCAGGACAAAAAGGCAAAGAAGTTGTCCTAGAGCCTGGGAAGAAAATCTTTGGTCGAGACTGCAGAACTGAATCTGTACAGGTCCAACTGTCCTGTTAAATCTGTGTATTCCTATAGACTTCTGCTGCCACTTTCAGATTGCTTAAAATGGTCTGTATTTACTGGACATTTCAGTTCCATGTATCTGAACATAGCTGCATGATGCTTACACTCGATTACCACAGTCACCCACTTCTGTATGCCGTGCTTGAGTCTGATACTGGTACACTTGTATAAAATGCGTTGGTGACCAGGAATATGCACTATGCTGAGGGCAGAATGCCTGCATGAGTGGTGCAGAATCTGTTCATGTAATTTTGCTGTTTCCCAGACAGAAGTCTTTGAGTCACATTTTACATTATTAATCCTGCCCTCCAAATCATGTGCATTAAGTATACCATGCTGAGAACTAAAAACATTAATTTCTCAGACATTTAAAGCTGCCACTTAGACAGCAGTATCATCCAGCCTTCCCAAATCAGTCTGATTTTCCCTTGGATCCACAAGCTTTTCTAATACTGTCATGGGGACGGGTTCAAGCACAGAGATGTCCCCAGCACTCCTTTAGTGTCCTGGCATTGCTTCTTCAAATAAATTCAGAATCAATTCTCAGTCAAGAGGAGTAAATTGTAACTGAGGACTGGGCTGATCTATTATTTCAGATCATTTCTTCCCTTTGGGGTGTTTCAAACTTCAGGAATTATTCACATCTGAAGACCTGCACCCCCAAAATAGGGCAATCTCCTTCACTCTCAGTTTTACTCAGGCAGCTCTTAGTTCATCACTCAGCAGGCTGTCAAGGATCACCTCTTAAGCATCTTTGTACCCTCAGATTTGCATGAAGAGTCTTTATGACTAACACAAGCCTGAGGCTCCACTAAATGCAATGGGATGTGAAGGTGGTTTGGACCTGGCCAACAAAAATAACAGATTTCAACTACAGCTATAAAAATGACTAACTGTTAACAGACATACAATTTTTTGTAGTTGTAATTGATTAATCCTTGGAAGAGCAAGCATTAGAAATAGCAAACCTTTTGCAACTTAATGTAATGCAGTGCACATAGGATGGGAAGATGAAACACTGTCAAACACCAGGTAGTCAAAACATGAGATATCCCAGTAAAGCAGCAACTTAAAAGCATTACTTGGTGCAAAATAGTGAATATTCAAGAGACGTGAAGCAATTCAGGAATGAAGTGAATGAGCAGCTCTTAACTAGGATGTAATTTACAGTTCACAAAATAATTTAGGTAAGTTAACCTAAGAGAAAGTTGTAAGCCAAGCTAGGTGAAGGAGAAGTACAGCAGAAAAACTTCTCTATTGAGACTATAGAAAGTAACATCCATTGACAAGAATATTTAACATATCTAACTGCATAAATTCCAGAAAAAAAACAATAAGAAGAGTATTTCTATCACTAGAGACAGAGCAGCTCCATTTTTACGAGCAGTTCCAGCATGACAGATCATGTACTTAGCTTGCTAAGACCAACAAGCACAGCTGTCAGAGGGGCTGCTAGGGTTCTTAATGAAAGTAATTCTGACATAATACCAGGAAAATGCCAGATACCACATGAATGTCACTGGGAAAGAAAGCTGTATTTAGATATAGGCTAATTTGCAATTCCTGGTTTGGTGTGACAACCTGCATATTGGAGGATTTGCATCGCAACGTCTGGAGCTGCATATAAAAAGCTGTATGCTATAATAAATATGTTATTAAAATAACACACAAATAAGTGGCAGAATTTATGCATTAGTACTAAATATACGTTTTCAGCTGAGGGCAGGATAATGCATTTTCCAAATAACCTCACAAC